ATATAATAAAAATAAAGGAATTTTATTAAAGAGAAACTAGATTTCCTAAAAAGTGATTTTCAAAGGTCATTTGAAGGCCATTTGTTTTTTTTTAGATAAAACCACATTTTTTTTATATAAATCAATTTTTCGCAATTTTCAGTATAAAAAATTAATTATAAAAGTAAAAGATTAAAAAAAAAAAAAATATTCATTTTTGAATAATCTTGCTTCAACTTTTATACACAAAATAATAAGAGAAATCAATTTGCGTAAAGAAATCACAAAGTTTTTCTCTAATCTAGTACTCTCTCTCTCTCTCTCTCTCTCTCTCTCTCTCTCTCTCTCTCAAGATTTTTTTAAAAATAATTTTTAAAAATAAAAAAACAAACCTAATAATTGATATATTGTAGATACTCCTTTCTTGCCAGCACACACAATGCTTTCCAATTGTCCCCTGACACTTTGTAAGCCCTTTAATAATTCTGACATCAGATGGATGATAACAATGAGTCACCTTCAAACTGATAGTTTTCTGCACAAAGTCGTGTAAGAATTTGATATCACGAAATATATCTATCTTGGAACTATTGCAAACGTGAAATGAAGACTCCAAATCCTCAGATTCCAATACAATCAGGGAGAATGCTTCATTGAGGCTGTGTAGCAAGTTTGTTGATAGGGAAAGCTTGCTTGCGGCATTCAGGATCATGTCACCATTCTGGCGAAGAAGCTCCACCAGTTGCATTATCTCCTGCATATTTACATTTACTATATCCTGTGAGTGAGTAGACATTGTACCATTTATGTGTTATTGTTACATAAGCTTTCTTTATATTGCGTTACTTAATTACTGTATTCGCACAAGGGTACACTTTTTTAATATGATTTCACGTTAAACTGAAATAAAAAAGATACATATTAAATATTGTTATAAAACATTTTATTTTTTGATTTTATTTATTTTTGAGCTCTACATTTCTAAATATATTTTTAAATTTTATTTTCAAATTTAAAAATTTTTTACAGACATATTTGCATACAATGTCGAATTTTTTGCATACTTGGCGTATTTTTAAGATTTTTTTAAGGTTAATAGGTTATGAGTTGGCCAATAAAAACTTGAAAATACAGAAATTAGAGTTGGAAAATTTGTAGAAAAAATTAATTTATTTTATAAACCTTGGGTTTAGTATATAAAGACCTCGAGAAAGTCATCATTGTCAAAATCTACGGAACGAAAAAAAAACACTTGTCATTTAATCATATCATATAAATAAAACTAGCTTTATAACAATAATAATAATAATAATATATCGTATTTATTACATACCATGTTATAGTTCATTTTTTTAGTAAAATATAAGTGAAATTGACGATGTATATAACAACAATAATCTAAATATTTGTACCATCTTCTCTTTTGTGCCTACTTTTTGACCCTATTTGCTGAATCTAAAAGTAGAAACTAGAGTCCCTAGAAAAATATTTCTAGGGACTAATTATTTCTAATTATTTATTATTATTTATTTTTTCTATTATTATTTCCCAGCAGACCTATTCTGTAACTTTTTCGTAATCGTTATAATTATAACGCATGATTTATTAGAAACTGTACAATTTCATTGGTCCACACCTAGTAAATCGTGCGTTATAAGCGGGGAGCACGCTCTTGCATAGGTGCATAAGTGTAAATATGAGAATCTTGATTGGTCTATAAATGTATGCATAAGAAATTCAACCAATCGAATTTCTTATGCATATGCTTATGCGCTTATGCAAGAGTGTGTGCTCACCGCTATAATTATAACGCAAGCGTTAAAAAATTACAGAATAGGCCTACAGGTAGCAGACTGATGTCATTGTCATTAAATGTTAAAATGACGTCATTTTGACATTTATGACGCCATTTTGATATTATGACGTTATTTTGATATTTAATGACGTTAGTTTGACATTTAATAACGTTATTGTGATATTTTGACATTTAATGATGTTATTTTAACGTTTAATAACGTTATTTTGACGTTTAATGACGTTATATATTTTTACATTTGTCTGCTATCTGGGTGGGAGAGGCTCATTTGCGCACAATACAATTGGACATTTGCAATTTCACACCGTGCTATTGCGGACATATAAGATTTAAGATCGTTAGCGTTTTTGACGCGTTCAGATGTGTTTCGTTTGAAAAAAATTTTTTCTTTTGTGTTCCGTTCTCGTTCTATCATACGGATCAAGATCCATAGATAAACAACGGGAAAAGAAGGAAGGTTGTCGCATGAGCCGCCATTTTGGGACCACGAAGTTATGTGTGTGTATATATCGGTGTATGTCGTATGAAGTGTTAGCGAAAAAAAAACTATAGTTGAACAGCTGTCCGGTGGCTGGATTGGCGGCGCCATTTTGGGGCTCATGTTGAAACAATGAAAATAAGTAACATACTCGATTGGATAATATAAATAAAAACGGACAGCAATCAAACATGTTTACAATAATTAGTATCAGATGTCAAAACGCGAATATAAACCCATTTAATGTATAAAATATAAACTATAAATACAATTAAATATTACAAAACTTACGAAACAAAAAAATTAATTAATTGGTCAATATACAATAAGAATAACGTGGTCAAACGATTCACAAAAACATATTCGTCGTTTGTAGGCGGGAAACATGCCAGTAAAATCGTTCATCACGCCAACAATTTTTTGATAAAATTTCTATGTTTCCCAATTTTGATGACAAACTCGATAAATAACGATTATGGAATTGTCAAAAAGAATAAATTATTATGCTTACGCTTATGCGCCTATGCAAAAGTGTGTGTTTCCCGCTTAAGAATCTTGATTGGTCTATAAACGTATGTATTGTGACATCCCGTCTATTTAAAATTTTTTATTTTTAATATAACTATTGCGCGCTATTCATATTCTCATAGAATAAGACTATTAACAATCATTATATCTTATTAATTGCTCTAATCTGACTATTTTAATATTAATAGATAAAATCGCCAGATCTGGGGTCCTCCACCTAGGAACCAAACATCTCTATCTAGTCCTAACTACGCGACCAATCAGGCACTATCTAGGGACCCCAGAGACAGCATGTAACTAGCGGAACTAACCAGATATTCCTTTACAGGAGCACTTATCGATACACTTATTACAATAACGCCAAACTATAAATAATAAGTATGATAAATATTAATATAATCAAGCACAAGATATAAGGACTAAAAATGTTAACCCACTCCCTCCTAAAGTAAATTACAATACAACGCGATGTATTATTAATTCCAAAACAATCTATTCTTTAGTCAGATTTACAGAATCCTAATCACATCAAATTTATATGATAACTAAAAGAGAAACACTAATTCTTTCAGAATTCATACTGAAACGAAACACGATTCTCCCAGGGAGAAATGGCATGTTGAATAGACGTCGAATCGATGTCTTTTATATGCGTCTAAGTAAGATCTAATTTGACGTCTATATAGACGGACAAATCTTTGAATTTCGACACCATCTAGACGTTAATATAAACGTCTATAAAATGTCTAATAGACATCTAAATAATTGATGTAACGGCTGTATTCAGCAGAAAAAGTAGCGTTGCAAATGTTGTAAAATTGATGAATCTAATAATGGCGTATAATTGGCGTATGCTTTTAGTTTTGACTAAACCTAAGCTCATACAATACTCAAATTCAATAATTTTACAACAGACACTTCTACTTTCTCTGCTGCGAACGCAGGCAATAAGTGCAGTATCCCAGGGAGAAACAAGAAATCGGATCGACGTCGATTAGACGTAAATAACGTCTATAACTTTTTCAGTTCAAATTAGACGTCGACTAGACGTCGATATTATTTGCTAAAACAATCAGGCCAGACATCAATAAACATTTCATTTTAATCCATAATAAAATACTTTTCATGTAAAAAAACATATATTAAAATTTATATATAAAATATATATGTGATCCATATATATATATATATATATTTTTTTTTGTGTTGTATAATTTCTCTTTGTGTGTGTAATATATTAATTAATTATAAAAATAAAGGTAAATTAATTATATATATATTATATATATATATTTACTAATTATGTATGAGGAAACTTTATATGAAAATATAACTTTAATTATTTAAATGATTGGTTCGATAACGCTTATTTTGATTTAACTGTCGTATAAAAGATAAGTTGCGAGTTGCGACACCGCCTTGCGACTAAATATAGTACCAACTTAACGCAACGAGTTAACGAACTCATTCTGTTATTGTTCCGTAATCGATGATCATTCGTTGAAGTTCGTTGAATGTTGAACTGTGCTTGTGATAATATTTGTTCTTCTGGAGGCCTATTCTGTAACTTTTAACAAATGCGTTATAACTGTAACGCATGCGTTAGTCGTCATATCGTCGACGAATTCATGGTTAACAAATGAATTATAGTTATAACGCATGCGTTAAAAGTTACAGAATAAGTCTGCTGGATCGATTGCTATTCTAATAAAGAAGTCATCACCAACAAAAATGAGTGAAAGTCCACCGGTAAGTGCTTCATAATTTATAATTTCTTAATAATCTACTTTTTACTTTTGTGCCTCAAGTCGTCTGTAGGTTATAATTGTTTCATAAATAAATTACAATTTTCATATAAATAGTTCATAATTTATATATATATTAATAAATTATTTTGATTTATTTAATTAAAAATATTGTATGCTCTTATATATACACTTTTCTTTAACTCACTCTTTAACTAACCTCAACATATACGGAATTATTAATAATAATATTGTCACTATTGCTTCTTTTTTGCTATTATTTATTTAAAGTTTATTATCAAAATTTATTACATAACATTATTGTGAATGCAGTATAAGCAATATATTTTAGTACTGATGTTGTTCTTGTATTATTTTTACATCTATCATAGGAAAGTAGGAATCGTCGTAGAAATACGAACAAGCAAATAATTAATGAATTAGTTAGGCAATGTAGGAATCAAAGAAAATTGGACGATTTAAGAAATCGAATTACTACTGTCTACAAGACAGAGGCTTCATCCGATGAAGAGGTTTCATCCGATGAAGAGGTTTCATCCAATGAAAAGGTTTCATCCGATGAAGAGAATAATGAAATGCTGCCCATTCCAGGGATTGAAGATATTTCTTTATTAGAAACAAATTCTGAAGTATCAACAGAATCTGATGCATCTATCGATCAACTTGAAAATGAAAATATGGATGATAACAATAATTATAATAATGACAATGACAGTGAATTACATTTTGAAGATGAGAATAATGACAGCGAAGGAAGTGTTGAAATTAATGATGCTAACAGATATAGTAACGATGAAGAAAATGATGATTTAATGATTGAATTTGAAAATGACGAACAGAGAGGACGCTATGTTTTAAAAACATTGAGGGAGTGGGCCCTTGAAGGAGGTGTGTTATCTATGAAGAAGTTAAATGATTTACTTCGTAGATTGAGAGTATTGTTTCCCATCTTACCTAAAAGCTACAAAACCTTACTCCAAACTTCTCGAGATTTAGATATTGATCGATTACCTGATGGATCTCAAATGTGGTACAAGAGTATAAGAACAAACCTTGACAACATGCTTCTTGATGAATATTTAAATATTTACAATTCTGTTATTATTGATATCAATATGGATGGCCTTCCATTGTCTAAAAGTTCTAAATTAAAAGTTTGGCCAATTTTAGGTTATTTAGTAAATACAGAAAATGAGCCTTTTATTATTGGTTTGTACTTTGGTGATCATGATCCTGTTGACATACATTTTTATCTGCACAAATTCGTAAATGAGCTCGAAGATTTATTGGAAAATGGATATATTCGGGATAATTGTACATATCCATTCATAATAAGAAATTATGTTCTTGATGCACCAGCTCGCTCATTGGTGAAACGCTGTGTTAGTCATGGAGGTTATGGAGCTTGTGAAAAATGCACATGTGTTGGTGAATATGTTGCGGATCGTATAGTTTATACAAATCTGAATGCTCCATTGCGAACTGATCATTCATTTATTATTCAAGAAGATCCACTTCATCATATATGCCGTTCTATTCTAAAGAGAGTAGATACAGGAATGGTGTCTCAATTTAGATTGGATTCATTTCATTTAGTTTGGCATGGAGTTTTCAAACGATTATGGATGGTATGGATGCAATGGAATGGGCCATGGAAACTTAACAAGTTCTCCAGAAAAAATATTTCTAACAATCTAAATTTTTTGAGGGATTTCTGTCCAAGTGATTTTTGCAGACTACCAAGATCAATTGATGACTGGAAAATGTACAAAGCTACAGAAGAGAGACGATTATGTCTTTATGATGGACTCCTAATATTTCGAAATAATTTGCAAGAAAATGTTTATAAAAACTATCTCTTACTTCAAGCTGCCCTGTATATTCTCTCTAGTCCTTTACATGTTAATGTATTGAATGACTTTGCTAATGAATTGCTTAGAGCATTTATTAAGCATTGTATAGA